CCGGGGTCTGCGGGGACTCTCGCCAGTGCGCGGAAGCAAGAGGCGCTCGGCAGCGCGGGGTCGCGGAAGGGCGGCTCGCTGCTTCCCCGCCAGTGGGTGGTCCTGCATCTCCCCGGGCTCCCCGCGCCGTGCTGTTCGTGCGATCAATAAATAAGGTGAAAATAAATAAACAGCGCGCACGACCCGCCAAGCAGGTTAGCTGAGGCGTCTTCTGCCTTTGCCTTGGCTTGACCTTTCTCCGCCCCCGCCCCCTCGGGCTTTTCTTGCTCCACCTCAGCCACCCACCGGCCCCGGCGCAAAATGTCACCGAGGGTGAGCATTCAGGTGCATCTGCTTGGCGAGGAGAGCGAGCCTCGGACGAACAAAGGGAAGAAGCTTCACGCGCTCGGCTGCGATGGTTTGGTAGTGGAGAGGATGGAGGGGACCAGTGCCTTGTTTCTGCCTCCCTGAGTCCGGGTTCGAGGCGAGCTTGGGAAAAGGGGGCGAAATGAGTGAGAGAGAAGCTGGGAAGGAGAGTGAGAGGAGCGGAACGCGCAGGAATTGGTCGTCTTCTGGAGGCGACTGTGTGGCAAGACCTGCAAAGCCCCGCGGCGTAATTTTAAAGTGCTTTTCCCTCTTTTCTTTCTTTTTATTTGTAAACACCAGATGTTAACATTGCAGGGATTAATATGTAATCTATCCAACTTGCTGAAAAGTCAGGCAGTCTCCTCGGTATAGGTTTTGCCACAACTCCTTTTCCCGTCCTTTGCGAATGACATGAGCGATTTAGAACCCTTTCCTAAATGTCAGCGTCATGAGGCGTGTTTCTGTGAGTGCGCGTCCCTTTCATCCTCTCTGGCATCTCTAAAATGGTTGAAACAGTTCAAGGTGTCCGCGCGAGGGCTAAGTGATTTGTCGAGAGACCGGGAAATTGTCGCGGCCAACCGTTTTATTTTTCGCGTACCCCGCCCCGCAGGCATCAGGAATCTTTTTAAAACCAAACACGTAACATATATAACCACTAGATGGCGTGAATGGCGAGAAGTGAAATCTATACCAAAGGCTTGGATGCTTTAGAAAGGTGGAGGATCAAAATTAACTGACCCAACAGAAGATTGGATCACAAAAACATCTCCAAATCCCCCGCTTGCCATCACTTTTTAGTGTTTATAGGAGATGTACTACTCAGATTTGAGTCTGCATTTTGATGGGTATGGGATGGATGTGGAGAGTTTTCTGCTGAAATGCCTTTGAAAATTAAATCTAGATTACTGAATAAAAGTGGTATTAGTAATCGTAGTAATTAAAAAAATAGTTAAGGCCCTAGGAAATAGTGATACTTCATCCATATATTAAGGAGATGAGCCTAATTTCTGCCTGAAAATTACCTTTTCTCTTGTTTTGTAAAGGAAGTGGACTGTGAGATACAGTACAGAAATTGACTTTCAAGCCCTAGAGATCCCAGGCATGATGTGTCAACCTTAGAAATCTGATGTGGGATACTCTTAAGTAAAGATATGAATGAAAAAAGGAGGGTATATAGAAAATTACCTGCGGAGGAGAAGAACAAACCTTATAAAGTACAGGATTTTATGTAGAAATGGAAAAGTAGTGTTTTTTGATTGTTTACCTGTATAGAGATTTATGGAGTCCTATGAAGTGGTTAATTAAATCAGAACTAATGCAGCATGTAAGTTCGAGGACACTAAACTGAAGACATCTGCTGTTTATCTGTTTATATTAAATTGAGGTGAAGATGCTTGTTAACAAATCTATATAGCCTCCATACCTGAAGAAAAAAAAAAAGGCATGTTAACTAGAAAATAACAAGGACGAGTCTACCTACCAATTAATATAAGAAAATTAACCCTTTTCTAATCCAAAGGATAAGATAGCACTTTGATTATCTGGATATACAGAGGGCTGGCAAAGTATCTACAGAATGGGGAAAATGAATATTCACCTGAGGCCAATACTGGTTAGCCATCCTGTAGAGACGGGGCAAGGAACCTAAACAGAGTCCATGAAACTTCCCTCTAAGAGACTAAGCACTTAAAACTATAAAAGTAGAAGCTTACTTCCACAAAAAGTCCCAAATAAGCGAGAAGAGAAAATTTGCAATTTTTAGGAAGATAGTATAATCTTCCTTTCGGTACCCAGCATAATCTTCTTGGTATAGTGGAAAGAATGTGGGCATAAGAGTTAAACACATCTAGATTTAAATTCCAGCCCAAGAAATTATTTATTAGCTTTGTGTCATTACAGAAGTTTCTTAACTTCTCTAATCAGAAATTGTAGATAATAAAACCTTAGTTTTCAGGCTTATTGTGAAGATTAAACAGGATAACACTTATGGAGACCAACTTAGTACTTGGCACATAGTGTTATATATAAATTCCCTTTTACTGTAATGCAAAATTAAAATGTGATTTATTTTATCCAGCCTGGATTTAAAACTCTCTCAGTTACTTTTGTAAATTTACTCTTATACCTCTGAGTCCAAACATTCGCTTGCCTGATATGCACATGACTCTGATATTTTAATATTTATTCATGCATTGGATGTTCTATTGAAAGGTGTATATATACAAAATCCAGCCAAGACTGTATATGTTTCCCTTGCCCAGGGTTTCCTTTTCTGCCCTCTTATAATCTCATTTTATATACATGCATTCTGTTTAGTTGATTGCATGGAAAACAAACCGAGCAAGTTCAAAATCCAGTTAATCACTTCTCTTCTCCAATCACCCATGCCTTTCTCTCTCTCTCTCTCTCTCCTGATGAATGAATCCCAAGCAAGAATCTTGGTGCTTATCAAAGACCCTGGCCTGTTCTTTACTACTTTTCCCCAACAAAAACACGTACTCATCCAGTGAGCCACTAAGTCATGTATGTTCACCTGCCATTACCAATCTAACCTTCACCCTACAACTGGAGTGATTTAAAATATATGTATATATGTTGTTGGTTGTTGTTAGGTGCCTTCGAGTTGGTTCCAACTCATAACAACTCTATGTACAACAGAATGAAACACTGCCTGGTCCTGCGCCATCCTCACAGTCATTGTTATGCTTCAGCCCATTGTTGCAGCCGCTGTGTCAATCCATCTTGTTGAGGGTCTTCCTCCTTTTTGCTAGCCCTCTACTTTACCAAGCATGATGTCCTTCTTCAGGGACTGATCCCTCCTGATAACATGTTAAAAGTATGTGAGATGTAGTCTCACCATCCTTGCTTTTAAGTTGTACTTCTTCCAAACAGATTTGTTCGTTTTTCTGGCAGTCCATGTTATATTCAAATATTCTTCACCAACACCACAATTCAAAGGCGTCAATTCTTCTTTGGTCTTCCTTATTCATCGTCCAGCTTTTACATGCATACGCGGCAACTGAAAACGCTATGGCTTGGGTCAGGTGAACCTTAGTTTTCAAGGTGACATCTTTGCTTTACAACACTTTAAAGAGATCTTTTGCAGCACATTTGCCCAATGCAAAAATACGTCTTTTGATTTCTTGACTGCTTCCATGGGTGTTAATTGTGGATCCAAGTAAAATGAAATCCTTGACAATTTTAATCTTTTCTTCATTTTTCATGATGCTGCTTATTGGTCCAGTTGTGAGGATTCTTGTTTCTTTATGTTGAGGTGTAATCTATACTGAAGGCTGTGGTCTTTGATCTTCATCAGTAAGTGCTTCAAGTCCTCTTCACTTTCAGAGAGCAAGTTTGTGTCATCTGCATGTCGCAGGTTATTAATGAGTCTTCCTCCAATCCTTATGCCCCATTCTTCTTCATATGGTCCAACTTCTCAGATTATTTGTTCAGTATACAGATTGAATAAGTATGGTGAAAGAATACAACCCTGACACACACCTTTCCTGACTTTAAATCACGCAGTGTCCTCTTGTTCTGTTCAAATGACTGCCTCTTGATCTATGTACAGGTTCCTCACGAGCACAGTTAAGTGTTCTAGAATTCCCATTCTTCGCAATGTTATCCATAATTTGTTATGATCCACACAGCCGAATGCCTTTGCATAGTCAATAAAACACAGGTAAACATCTTTCTGGTATTCTCTGCTTTCAGCCAGGATCCGTCTGACATCAGCAATGATACCCCTGGTTCCAACTCCTCTTCTGAATCTGGCTTGAATTTCTGGCCATTCTCTGTGGATATACTGCTGCAGCCGCTTTTGAATGTTCTTCAGCAAAATTTTACTTGCATATGATATTAATGATATTGTTTGATAATTTCCAAATTTAGTTGCATCACCTTTCTTGGGAATAGGCATAAATATATATCTCTTCCAGTCAGTTGGTTATAGGTATATGTGTAATTATAGAATTGCATGCAATTGTGAGAAATAATGCAAAGAAATCTCTTAATTCAAAGAGATACCCATCACCTAGTGTCCCACAAAGGAAACACCTTGTATAATTATAGTACAATATCACAATCTGGAAACTGACATTGATCAACTCACCAAACTTTTTCAGATTACATCAGCTTTACATGCAGTAATTTTTGTGTGTTTATATTTAGTCCTATCCAGTTTTATCACACATTTACTTTCATGTGACCACTATCACAGTAAAGCTACAGAACATTTCCATCACAAGGATCCCTTCTGCTACCCTTTTATAGCCACATCTATCACCTTCCCTCCCCCTTCC